AGCCCCATCACAAGTCATGGTTTCAGTCCAGATGTGAACACCAGGGAAGGTCCACGTGGCTTGTTCTGAAGGAGCTAAGATATGGGAAGATTCAGTGAGATGATAAAGCCAAGGACAGCATGAGCCCCATCACTGCAACCAGTTCCCTACTGCAGGAGCCTTGGCTTGGGATTGAGGGAGGATGTAAAGCCACATGACCAAAGTAAGAGAGCGGTGGAGTGGACAACACCAAGAACTGCTGTATGGTAGACGAGTAATTCCGAATGTCCTAGGAGATTTGACACAAGAAGGGACTGGAGAGATAGCCCAGCAAATGAAGGGCTTGTGCACATCATGAGGACAGAATTTGGATTCCTCCGCGACCTCATATAAACCAGGTCTACAGTCCTAGCACTCAGGAGGTCGAGACAGGAGTTCCCTAAGGCAAGCTGCCTAGCTGTACTCACCTGATTGTCAGCTCAGGGTTCCTTGAGAGACCCTGACTTAATGAAGAGCAATTAAGGGAGACGCAGACCTGCCCTACACATGCATGCACATGCACACACACGCATGGAGTCGGGGAGGACAAAGGGGCTTTGAAAGGAAACACTGAAAAGCAAAGATTTGAGCCCTTGTCCTGTTAAACGGATTGCCTGAAAATTGCTCATACTTGGTGTGCAATAGGGCTCAGGAGAAGCAGGGCTCGAGTCTACCCCTGTCTGTTCAGTTTAATTTGTGGAGACATACTGACACTGGGTAAAGGGGAGGGGTGGCTTTGTGAGTCTGGAGGGGGGGTCACACAGGGCTGCATTTCCCAGCACTGTCCATCCCTCTGCCACCCAGGCTCTCCTCCATGACACCACAGACCCGCCTCACTTCTGTGCAGCTGATGCCCTGTCCAGGCAGATATTGTCCCAGCTGACAGTGAGCGTTCTTGCCAAATGCCAGGGCCATGGTCACATCTGCTTGTCTCTCTCTGCAGCGTGTCCCAGGCTGCTTGGGAACACATTGTATCCAGGGGGCAGCTTTCACAAGGCCTGATGCTCTGAGAAGACTCTAAACGCGTGCCGTGAAGAGACAAGCTCCCATTGTCTTGCCTTTACTGTTATTGTGTTTGACGTGGCCTGCCTCCGTGCTGTCAGCCCGTCAAAGCTACTGCTCTCCGGCAAGGTGCTTCTCCGTAGGCTTTGTGGTCGTTTTGTTTGATTAGTTTTTCTTTCCTCTAGATGATGAGATGTTCCGTTTCTTACAGCTGCACCATCTGAAAGGCTTACTTGCTGTAAACATTTGGGATAAGTCAGGCAGTCTATTTGAGCAACAAAACAAAACTAAAAGGCTTCTGGGTTCTGCCTTTCTTATGTTTAATAAAATACCTCATGGAAACCTCATTTCCAGTAGTCCTCAGCAGGGAACTCAATCCAAGCAGAGTTCTTTCTTTGTCCTTTCCATCTAGATGACAGGAGAGTCTAGACTGCAGCATGGACTCAGTCCTCGGCCCCCACCTCTGTCCTTCCTTCTCTTCTCTTCACAGGCAACTTTGTTGCTGACACAGATGCACTAATTCAGTCGTGGGCAATTTTTCTACAGGGCCCAACATTAGAAGGGTCTTAGCATAATTATGAAAACTTTTGATGTGTTCATGGGATGTTGTGTTGTTCTTAAGGTGCCCTGGGGGCCCCTCCTCCCAGTCAATTCTCAGTACAGGGCTTTGCAAAGACAGACGGCCACATAGACTGAAGGCTGCCTTTGAGACAGACATTGATTTTAAGTTAAGATCATAGCTGCTGTGTTAACAGATCTAGCTGTTTGTAGCTGCCCACTCCCTATGTCCAAAATGAGGTGGGAGAGGGGCTAGCCTGTGTTCTTGCTGATCGGTGGCCCAGATCCTAGGTCGCTGAGTCCATGGCCTCTGGCTGTAGTCACTGTGCATGGTGTCTGTCACTGTCATTACCCTGTCATGTGCCTGCACTGGATGGGCAGGAGAGTTGGCTTTGCAAAGATTCCCAAAGGTTTCAGAAGATGGTGGTTTTCTCGACATCTGTCTCCACAATCTTCTATGTGGGCCTTGCTAATAAATTCTGAATAGTGTGAGAAGTGAATTATTAAAGACAGAATTCACTTAGGAGTGCTTTCCAAGCATTTAAATACTGGGATTTTACAACACCTTTTGCAAGAAGAGTGTTGGGTGGAAGTCAGGGTAGATGGGGCAAGTGTTCGCTGTGCATGTCTGATGAACTGAGTAATATTCTGAACACACACGTAAGAAGTTGGGCATGCTGTCCCTGGCTCCTGGAATCCCTGTGCAGGAGAGGAAGGCAGATTCCCGGTGCTCCCTGGCTCCTGGCATAGCTGAAATAGCAGTCACCAGCTTCACTGAGAGGCCCTGTCTCAAGGAAGAAAGTGGAGAGCAATAGTGACACCACAGTGACTTCTGGTCTCCTCACAAATGCACAGGCTAATGCAAACCACATACATCACACACAGACGCGCACCCAACACCCTAAAGGAATAGAAAACCATTTTCTTGTTTTCAGAATGGTCTCTTTATTTTTTTAGGCACTCCTGTACCATAGCTGAGTTGTCTTGTGTAGGCTCTAGAGAAAGTAAACCTGATCCAAGGCTTTGGGAAAAAGAACCGAGTAGACTACGTTGGACCTAGGAAAGAGCTCCGTTGGTAAAATGATTTAATGTGTGAGACAAAACAGCAGGTCATGGCCACTTGTGCCTGAGGTCCCAGTGCTGTAGTGGCTGAGAGTGCCGGGTCCCTGGGGCTCTGGACAGCCAGTCTCGCTCAGTGAGCTCCAGGACAGCAACTAGAGAAAAGATGGGCACTGTCCTGAGGAACTTCTCCTGAGGTAGACTTCCTGCCAATACAGATGCTCACACACATGCATGTGAACATGTGAACACACAAGCAGAAAAGCAAGGGACTTTTTCTTCACAAAAGAAAAAAAAGTAAGATCATGACTGTCGTGGGAATATAAAATACAAATACTGGAGTTTATTGACTTCAGTAACAGAGAGAAAGCGGCTGTTACTGCAGTTTCAAAGGAAAAGCCAGAGAAGCAATCACACATGGGATAAAGCGAGATCTCTAGTTTGTAAGTGAGCTTGAAATGGGCTTTTCCACCCTTGGCCACTTCACCTTCAAGACTGTTACTTCACCTTTCTGAGAACAGGAACTGTACCTTGTTACTTCTACTCTGTATGCTTGAGAGTTGTAACGTTGTCCCAATAGAATTAGAATTTAAAGAGTAGACTCCAAAAGTAAAGCTTTTCCATTAAAGAAAATTCTACAAAGGGTGTGTGTGTTTCATTCAAGTGCTTAGAATGGTTGGCAGGACTAAATGGTATAATCTCTGCGGGTGTTTAGTAGAGCTGTCCCTGCTGCCGTCATCATCACTCCTAATTATTTTGCAGTAAGAACTGAAGCTCTTTTTTTCCTCGTGTCTTCATTTCCTCTTCCCTGCCCTCTGCATTTTCACACCTGTATGAAAGCATATGCTGAGTGCGTAGTGCATACTAGTAATTGCTTGCTGAATTAATTTTGCACAAACAGGTCTCTTGTTTTCTTACAGTTCTTAAAATTTTTATGCGATTTTAAAAAATAAATATGAACACAACCATTTATTTTTCTTGAGATCATGAGGCAAGATTTCCCTCTTCAATCTAATAAATATGTTATAATTTTGTATGACAATAATCGTTTGAGAGCAAAGCAAAAGTAACTGGCCAAACTAATTTTTTTAATAGAGATTTATTCTGTAACAAGGAAACACTGTGGACTTAGTACAAAGGAAAACTAATAGATGCCTATTTCTTACTAAGCTACAAAGCAGATTTCATGCTATTTTTCTCTTCTGCCCACATATTACCTCGCTCATTGTGGCTGCACCTGTGTTTCAAACCATTTGTTCAGATGTATACAGTTTACTCAGCAATGGTTTTTCGTTATATTTAAACCTAAATATATGTATACACAGTAAAAATATGTACCACTGATTTACTTGTATCTTTTTTCTCTTTTCATTTCTGAAATACCTGGCTGTTTTCAATTTGGATTGTTTAAAGCCTCATGCCACTCTCAGATACCTCTCTGTAGAAGTAAAAGCATTACTTTAGTAAATGCGTTTCGTTCATTTCTGCTCTGTGGTCTTTGGTCCCTATCTGAACCTCATCAAGGATTATGGCCCTGGAAATGAGCGCAGAAACTGTCTGTGGCTTGCAAAGCCTGAAGACTTTTAAATCCTTTCTTCCTTTGCATTAGCCCTTTTGGTTTCTAATTGAGCCATTATTTTTCTAAAACTTTTTTAATCTGGAAGACTAAAGTTAAGCAGAATGGGATAATTATAACTGGTTCCAAAAATAACAAGGCCCACCCTGAGTTCTTATATGTCATGTCTTCATACATTTGTAGCCTAGGATCATGTTAGACTATTGGGAACAGCAGACAGACATTCATGCATTCAAATTGTTCTCTCCTGACTAGTAAATAATTAAACAATTCTAATTGTATGAATTATAAGGACAACATCACCATTTCCTTCTATCTATTTAAAATGTTTTAAAAGAATTCACTGCTGCATAATATCAGAAAAGAAATTGATCATACTTTTCCTGTAATAAATGTCGTCCTGACAGTAAAGCATTAGCAACCAATTGATAACCTAGCCACAATATTGTGATCTCTTTAGATAATTAATCTTTGCTATTTTCCTGTCAGAAGCAACAGTGCTTGATTTTATGTTGAGCCAGAAAGATTGCCAGTTTTGAAAATTAAAAAGCATTCCTTTTATATTATTCATCCCAGTAACAATTTATGATGGTGCGTTTAGCTGCTGAGCGCTTGTCAACAAACGTAATTATGTTTCGATATAAACAAGATTGGTGGTTTTACTATGCAGCCCCATCTTTGGTGAGAATGTTTTGATTTAGGTTCAGATTATACAAGCTGTGCGTTTATGTGTTATTTTCCCCCTCCTTTGTTAATAATTTTTATTTCTTCTGATAATTACTTGTAGGCAAACAAGCATGCATTTAGGATCCTTGTGCACAGGAGACATCAAAAGGAGAAGAAAAGCTGCCCCTTTGCCAGGACCTACTACAGCAGGTAAAACGAAGCGGGAGGGTGGAGCGCAGTGCAGAGGGCATGAATCACCACAAACAAACATAGGCGATCCATGATCACTCGCCCTGCAAGAGAGGCATGGTTGCAAGAAATTGTAACGCAGATCATTTGCCTTTACATTAAGGTGTATAGTCTGTTGACCATGTGGACCTTGTAAGTAGCTAATCAATGAGACACGTGCTGTGCACACACCCAAATGAGTGGGATGCAGCAAAGCTACAAAAGCCTCCAAAGCTGTGTCTTTGGCTGGTTTGAGGAAATTTTCAGACTTGCAGAGGAAGTGAAGTAAGCAGATGAACTGACGAATAGCCCACTACCTAAGACCATGTGATTACTCGGCCTGGGTGGTAGGTCTAGGACAGTCACTGTGTGACTGCTAACGCCTGCTTTTTCCATGGCAGTGCCCTTCGCATCCTATGAGTGTACATATTCCGAGCATATATGAAGACGTCCTTTTGCTCCTGTTCCTCCCTTTTCCTTCTCTTCCATTCTGAAATAACCTGCCTACCCTTTCAAACAGAAGCCTAGGCTTAAATATGATGCATGACATTGGGTAGTAGACACGCGGGCTCTGCAGCATGCTCTAATTAGAACTCTGCTATGTGCAATGTAAGTGAACTTACAGGATATCGTGAAGTGTTTGTCCTTTTACAGTAAGCGATGATGCCTGGGTCTCCCTAGCAAAGGTCAGAGACAAAGCTAGATAGGTCATAGGTCACAAATGCCATGCAGTTATCAAAAGTATCATGTCCCAGAAGAAGAAAGGACCACAGGGGTGGGGGACGGGTCATAGGAGAGTAGATCCCATCAAAATACATCATATGCAAGAATAAAGATAACATAGCAAAACCTATTATTTTGTACAACTAACGTACACTAATATAAAATGAATGACAAAAGAGACCTCTCTTGTATATACTGACTTGTACCCAACTATGTGTCTGAAATTTATAGAAGATGCACTCAACTATTACTGGGAGGAATGTACAATAGTCATGAAATACTTGTAATATGTATTATCTATCCATGTAATCACATTTTAGGTCAAATAGATGTGATAAGAGTTTCCAACCTCCCCTAAGTCTGGAACAGGATTCCTCAACATCCCCATTCCCAGTGAACTCTGACCTCAGTGGCAGAAGCCACAGAAGGACAAGTCCTAGGAAAGTTCCTAATGGTCCCGTGTGGCCACAGAAACAAAGCAGAAGTCTGGACCAGGCCCTGAGATGTAGCACCTATGTGAAGTGGGGACCAGAAGGGGTCACATGGTCCTTTGTACAGGAGATCTTGACTTCAGAGCTCTAGGCGTTAGAGGAAATCACTTATGAAGAATGTAGATCCACACTTTAACTGTAGTCTGAAACAGTCCTTTGTTCGTAAGCCTGGGCTGAGCATGTGCCAGCATATTCCAGATACTGTATTTCCGCTGCGTGTGTTGAAACCTTTTAAGATTTGGGACTTTCATTTTACTACTAGATTTTAGCTTATGGAATAAAGTTCATAGGCATTTAATATGGTGGGGTTTGTCCTTATTGTTTTGGTTTTGTGTTTGTTTGTTTAGTTAGTTGCTAAAAATATATGTCACTTATTTTAAGTGTATTTTCAAATATGTGTGCAGCAGTTCCTTTCAGAGAGGAAGATATGCAGGTATTTGGGTCCTTAGTTTCAAGAGAACACTAATGACCCAGCCCTGAGTGAAAGTGTTTATCCATATGCAGTCAGAGAAGCCACTGCATAAATACAGTTGGATAGTGAGGTTAGATATTGGATATCACTTTGTCCATGAAATTTGCTGTTTTCAAATTCTGGAACAGAATTAGTCAAAGAAAACAGTGTTCATTGCATCAATACATTTCCAAGACTGTATTGGCCTGTAGAATTCCTCTTGAAAAAGTATTCTTGAGGCTAAATAAATGGCTCACTGGGTAAGAACACTTGCTGTGCAGATACTGGTACCTAAGTTCAGATACCCAGCGGCCACCCAAAGAGCTAGACCCATCCACGAGTGCCAGTATCTCCAATGATGCAGAAGACAGAGACCAGGGCATCAGTGACTAGGGCTTGCTTAGCACCAGCCTCGCTCCAGGTTCATGAAACAGAGCCTCATGGAATAAGGCTGAGAGGGACAGTGAAACACCAAATGCCTCCTCTGGCCTCTATACCTATATACACACATGCATATACACATGTATGTTCTTGCTATGTTCACAGGTCCTTGCAGACCTTCCAAAAGACACACTTCCCTGATGTACACTCTAATGTACCTTTCTTTTCATCAGCATTGAATCTAAATGAGGAAAAGCCAAAAGGAAACTCCTCCTCATGTGAAATAGAAAGAGTCAAGAGATGGATAGGTGGATATTGCTTGTAATTCTCTCTGATTTCTCTGTAGTACATTGGGAAAACAAATAGCAGATATATATTTTAAAAGAAAAAAAAAGCTTAGCCAAAACTTGCTGGAAATGTATAATTAGGAACTTTTCATTTGCCATCCCACACTGGATCCGTAGAAGTTGATGACTGTCAGTGTGAACAGTTGTATAATACATTCACGATAAATGGGACTATCAGTAAGACACTCTGAATCCGTATGAAATTAAACCCCAGATCTGATTGTGATGTGGCTAAAGTGGAGAAAGTAACCCTAGTCCTCTTAGCAATTGTGCTGAGCAGAATTCAGTCTCTTTAGAAGGCTGTACCAGCCAGCCATGGGATTGGTTGCTCATTTATTAATTGTGACAGGAACACCAAATTTATTTCACTGCTTTCGCTTATTTACTGCTCTTTCACCTTTGTATTCAGTATTGACAATAGAAAATGAATATTGATATGGTTAGATATTGACTTTTTAATGTATGGCTTGTTCTCTTCCTCCTTCAAAGTCACACAGCAAAGCCAGTGTGTGTCTCCAGCCAAGGATGTAGATTTACTATTGTGAAATTCGGGAGTACTGAAGCCAGAGGCTTGCCAGCAGAATGCATTCTGTAGTCTGAGAAATGTCATCTATAAAGGTGCAGAAAAGCAGTGAGCAACAGAGGAAGACCATTGTCACACTTCTTACAGGCAGTCAGTGACAGTGGCTTGGTCTTAATTTTTGGTAGAAGTCCTAGATTATTAAGGATTTGTTGTTAAAAATATTAAGTACCGTTGCTGAAATATGGTGCCAACTATTCCTGGGTATTTTCCACTCCGCCACACTGAGTTTAGTGCTGTTTGCGGTGGCTGCTGCCTGGCCTGTTTTGTTTGCTATAACCCAGATATCCATTGCAAAGAACACTCCTCCAAACACAATGAAAGCCTATCATGTTTTTCATTTAGGGTTTCATCACTTAAGAAAAGAAACTGGTTTTACAGTATATTTTCATTTAAATCTAAATGATTTTCATTGTTTAAAACCTAAATGCAAAGCTGGATAGCACACTCTGGGTGATAATAGTGTACAAACACTACCAAGGCCCTGGGTTCCATCCCCAGCACCTCAGAATAAAATAAAATAAAAAGCAAATAAGTGAAACATTTGACCAATGGTAGTAACCACTAGCATTTTCTTACTTCTTGTCCCTAAAGTGATACTGAGAATATAATACAGCTCACAGTTGGGATAACATAGCTAATAACATCCCCGACCCTCTGTTGGCTAGCAAAGACTGGAAAGAAGGAGGGAGAGCTAATAAACTTCTTCTGAATACAGGGCAGGGACAGGACAGGCACATGCTTGCTGTTACATGGGAAGCAGCCTGTCAACTCCCCTTCCACTGGATGTTGATCCAACATCAATACAACGCTTTAGGAGCCAAATTACTCAACAAGCTGCCAATTAGGCTTGCAGTCAGCTGGATAGATTAGTGGCTAAGAGAGGCTGATGCAAGATTTTCATCTCTTGAGCCAATTACGCAACTGAATTGCCCTCCACCACACTCCGCTCTGAAGAAGGGCTGAGGGGAGGACATGCTCTACTTCAGTAGACTCAGGGGACCCAGCAGACAGGCTAGACCTGGAGCAGGAAAAAGAATGTGCCTACATTTGCCACAGTCCCATGCAAGGAGAACATTCTAGGAAAGGACCTAAAAGATGTATCAGTGCTGGGAGCCAGAGAAAAGAGAACCATGACTTTGGGGTGGGCTGTGCTGAGTGCAAGTGTTCGACTCCTGGGTTTTCCTCTCACAGAACAAGACAGAGCAGCAGGGTCTTGCCTTTCAGAATCAGTTCATGAGTAGTGAAGTGGCCCTTCCTTTTGGTCATTTCCCACTGATCTATATGGGAATACAGCAAATTTAGAAATCACCGTCTTTTGCTTTTTGTTCCAAATACGAGATACTGCTTTATTTGATTCTATTTTCATGAAGTTAAAAAAAATTAAACAACATTGGAAACAATGAGAAAGAACAAGGTCTTTGACATTTTGTAAACATATAATTTTAGAAGCAGAGTAACCATTGCTGCAGGCCCCCGTGCTTCTGTGCCAGCATTTTAAAATCACCGATACATCGTTTTCACTGTTTGACTTAAGACTCGGTTTGGCCGTCATGTAGCAATTTCCAGAGATGCTTTTAGTTGGTTTCATATATTTTTCCTTTTCTTTTTTCAATGAAAGCTGAATTCCTGCAGTCTTTGTCCAAAAAATCTGTGTGACCAGATGTGTTGCCAATGGCAGCGTCATACCGATACCTGACTTGAGTTCAACTTATTCACAGATTTAAATTAGCCTGTTGCCCTCACTGAAAAGCTGGAGCTGGGCGAGTGTACGAGCACGGCGTTCACCTACTCGTAAGGTGTTCCCTAGCACCTGCTCTGAGCTCCACAGGCTCCAGGTGGCCACCCCAGTTGCTGTTTTCAAATAAAAACTTGGTTGTTTATTTTTGAGGGGTTTTTTTTTTGCTATATTTACCAAAACATTAACCAAATGTTTTTCTTTAATTTTTTGTAACTCAGGGGTCCTTTTTTTATGTCCTTCATCCTTTCTTTTTCACAATCTCTAAGTCATAGTCTGTGTCTTGATTCAGGCTGGCACTGGGGTTAGCCAAGTTATTGGCGTAGACACGAGTGTTGTCGTCAGCCACAGGCCATGGCAGGCTCTCCTGGCACATGTTAAGGTGTTTCTTGAGGTCATGGGCATCAAACCTAGAACCCTGCTCACATTTGGCATCTACCACTGTGGTGTCTTCAGCCCTTTGACCTGTTTCGATTAGCTAATAATTCATATAGTCACTGATTTTTGCAGTAGCCTAGGCCATATTGAATGCAATCAACTTCTCAAGTGGCAAAGACTGTTACTACTGTCCTAAAGCCCTGAAGATGAAGAACATAGGCATGTTGGATAGGTAGCCTAATGCTCAGTTGGTGGTTGCTCTGTATTAAATAAGAGAGGGTCCATTTTTGAGTGTATCTGCAGCACTTTGCCGGGTTCTTCAAGGCAGGGAGATCAACCCACTTTGGTTCCTCGGAATACCAGATAGGGGATGTCATTGGCTCTATGCTGATTGTTCTTGCCCGCTATGAAATACAAAGGACGCATGAAAATGTGTGTGTCGAGTCTGAAGAGCAGTAACAAATCTCATCCATGTAACCTGTCCACAGCAGAGCTGGTAGAGTTGCTATAGTCTGGAGCCCTTGGGTATTTTTTATTGTCAGTGTTGGTGCTTGGGAAACCTCTGGGCCATCTATTCCTTTGAGGACAGGGTCCTAGCTTTTGTATCGTGGTCAGAGAGTGTAAGCCTGAGAAGTTGGCTGTCATCATTGCCAGTCAGGCAGGAAACGCATCAGCGGTGTTGGCGGAGTGGTGTGTGAGTGGAAGGGAAGATGTACCAACCGCCTCGAGGGCCATTGAGAGTGTCCATTTCAGCCTCTGTTCGGGAGAACACGGTCCACATTTCAGAACAGAGACACCCCAGACTGAGTCCACTGGCATCCTGTGGGTCCCTCTGGTCTCAGGGAGGACCATCATGAAGAAATCTTCACTGTTCTTTTTCTGGATCATTCCCATGTTAGCTGCTTCTATAGCCGTTGAAACATGGACCTGTAAGAAGGCTGGGCGCAGAGTTAAGGACTGTGGCAGACTGAACAGTAAACAAGCAGAGTTATAAGAGGATAAGCATGGGGCCTGTGCTGAGATCGCCAGCATCCGTGTGAAAGCTCAGCACTGTGGCATGGGCGATAACCCCAGGGCTGGAGACAGAGGAGTGCAGGGGCTCGCTAGCTGGGATCTAGAAAGTTACCTCGCTCCAGGCTCAGTCAAAGACACCGTCTCAGAAAGCCACTTAGAGAATAGTAGAGGAAGCGCATGGATGTCAGCCTCTGGCCTCTGAGACATGCATTAAGTCACACATGGACAAGCATACATTCTTAGGAATTCGGGGTGCAACAAGTTACGTTTTGGTTTGGTTTGGTTTTATTACCTCCAGGGTCCAGGGCAAATGAAAGGTATTGCAAGATAAGTTGTGTTTTTACCACAGCCCATGAGGCAGTGAAAACCCATCTGGTTGTGATATGCTTCCGGTTTTGCAGAACCTTGACATCCATGAGCCATCTGGCCTGTGGCTCTCTGTGAGGTGGGCAGCAGACACTGTAGGATGCCTGTGTGGTGAGTGAGGACACAAAGGCCCTAGGGCTCAAGTTTCTCAGCCCTGGGTAGATCTTCACCTGTGGGCTGTCATGTTCTCATTTCAGGAATTGTGGGTGAAAACGCCCAGCCGATCCTAGAGAGCAACATCGGGAACCGCATGCTTCAGAGTATGGGCTGGACACCTGGCTCAGGCCTCGGGCGAGATGGCAGAGGGATCTCTGAGCCAGTTCAAGCTGTGCAGAGGCCTAAAGGGTTAGGACTTGGATTTCCTCTACCAAAAAGCACTCCCACTGGCTCCGCTCCCACGTCAGGAAAGCCCACCTGAGCAGAAGAGAAAGGAAGAGAACTTCAGTTTTTGTTCCGCCCTATTGTTCTGAAGTGATTTCAGAGCTTTCTGGTGTGAAGCTGACCACTGCGTTGCCTCCAGCTAGCTTCCAGGCTGCGTAGTGTCCTGCCTCAGTGGTAGAAATGGGATTCCATCACAGTTCATGGTGCTGAAGTACTGACCTCAACCCTTTATGTTTCCTCATGATTTCCAGCAGTTTCTAGATGGGAAGAACAGTTGGTCTCTTATTTATTTGTTCCCTGACATCAGTTCTTGCTGCTGCCTTGCTCACACCATGCATGCGTGTGATGCCCAAACTAGGCCGAAAGGATCAAGTTTCTCATGATGCCTACACTAGGTAGTTCTGTCTGCCTCCATCCCCACCACCCCTATCCAGGGAGTCCTAAGCACATCTGGGAAAGGCTTGGTAAGCTCACATTCCTTGACTTTGGCTCTCATAAGGATTCGTGGCAATGATGCCCATTAATTCTTTGAATAATGTAGCATGAATTCACAGTGGGCAAACAGTAATCAGTATTTCCCTCACACATTTGGTGAAAGTTAAGCCTGTTGTCCTCATCACCAGAGTGCCCTCAGCATTACTCCAGTGCAGTTGATAAATCTTACCTCATTTAGAACAAAAAATAATCACTAAAAGAAAAATGTGTTTTTTAAGTTCATGCTGACTGAACTTTAAACCCTGACCTTTAGATGTCTACCTCTTCCCAAAGGCTGGTATTTTTTAAGGATCAGCTCTGAGATGAAGAGAGGGAGAGGTGATTGAAGGTTTTAGTCACTGAAGTAAATTATTAGACTCTTGAGTCAGTACTTGAAGATTTAAGTAGCTTTTCCAATAGCCAAGATGTCTGGCAGTGGCCTAACCTGCTCCCTGAGGAACAGGAGAAACTTAGGGGACCTGTCATTTTCAGATTAAAACACTTTACAATTAAGCAAGACAGCATGTTCCTTCCATCCCATTACTGAGGTATTTCTGAGTCATTCTTTGTTCAGAAAATACTCATCTGTTATGCTTGTCATTAAAAACCCTGGTAATTATTGTTGCTTACCATTGTCTCTACTGGTTCAGTAAAGGTTGAGATAACCCACACAAGTCTACACTTGACCAAAAGCAGTGTGGGCTTCAATTTTTTAACTTGAAAATAGTTTTTTTTTTTTACTATTTTTTAAGGCAGTAGAAAGGTTTCAGAAGGTACCAGACTTTTCCTACGTGGTCCCCTAACGAAAATGCAGCCTCTGTAGTTTGGTAAGCATCTGCATTTCTTCTAGGAATTGACTTTCCTGGGAGTGGTGTGGTGAGAAGTGGGCTGCCTAGGACAGGACAGGTAGACACATGGGTGAGCTCTCTTGGAACCCTTGTGTTGGGTGAAACACTGCTACTTGTACATGTTTGTCGCCATTTTTAACAGTTGTCTTCCTAAATGCTTATTGTATTCATGTGGGCAGGAAGATGGAAGAGATTATACTAGTATACTATACTCAAGGGTCTATTCCAAAGTTGTTTGCTTTTCATTGTTTGAATTTCATTTCTTGAAGGTCTTTTAAAGCCCTCGGATTTTTAACAGCTCAGTTTTGAGCCAGTGAGAAACAAGCCATTGCATGCTTGGTTCTAAGCTTCAGAGGAAGTGGCTGCTGTTTTCACTGTATCTTGTTCTAGAGGCTGTATGGAGCAGCCCACACCAAGCCAGTGGGGCCTCCAGCGGTCACTGGTCTTTCTGAGTGCCTTCCATCGCTGACCTCCAGACGGTGGGAGCATTGGGAAGGTGCTCCCGAAGCTGCTCTGACACCAAAGTTCTACTTTTCACACTAGAGACTCCGTGACTCACAGGTGGCTGAGAACAGTTTCTATTTTACTAGTGTTTATCCCTCACATTAGCAGAGACAGCCCCGTGCTCCCCAGTCTGCCCACAGTGCCCTTCAGCATTCAGGTTCTTATAAAGGTCAGCAAACTTCAGGGTGCTCTGCTACACCCAACCACCGCTGAGGAGTGAACAACTGAAATAGGAAACTTTAGTGCAAGTCAAATGTCTGCTCAGGACGTGAATCCCACTGGTTTATGTTTAATAGAGAGTAATACATTTTTGTCAGTTCAAATTGCCTCATGCACCAACATCATCAAAGGAGTTTGTGATTTTAAGTGTATTATTTATAGTTCCTTTCAAAAGTGTTGAGAGTTTCTCTGCTTCCTCACGAAGCATGCTGCTGTCTGAAAGGTAACCAGTTGGGGTCTCTTCCCTTCCCATCCACTCAGTACAGGAGTCAAAGAATCCGAGCATGACTGCATGAGCAGTGTGACTCCACACTGTGTGTATTTGATGTTAGGCAGACGTGGATTGTGGTCATTTCCTCCCTTTTCCTTCCCGAAGTAAAATGTCTTAAGGGTATATTCCCCTTAAATCCACTTCCCTTTTTTTCTTAACTGATGTAGTGACATTAAAAGTGGCCAGCTATGCTAGTACCCACCTATATTCCCCAAAATCGGGAGATTAAGGTAGGAGAATTGCCATGAGTCCAAGACCAATCTAATCTATATAGTGAGTTCCAGGACAGATATGGCTACATAGTGAGACCTTGTCTCAAAAATAAATATCAATGGAAATCCATTGCTAAGTGCAGCTTGTCCATAAACTGGGCTCCATGTTTGAACACAATGGCTTGGGACTCCTGACTGTTGTGATTAAGCAGACAGAAGTTAAGACGGCAGGGTTAAATATGCATCTGTACATATGTGTACATACAGGTGCGTTTGCAGCCCACATTCGTATGCAGTATACAGACGTGATTGACAAAAACTGCCCTTCATTCATGTTTAGTGTTTCAAATTGGTATTCAGTGCATTTCATTTTGAGCAGATGTTTCATAATAGAGAAGTTGTTGGAATACTTTTAAAACCATTTTAACTTGTATTTTGTTTTTCAGAAAGAGAAATGGTCTACATTGGTACTGTAAAATGAAGTTGTTAGCAAGGAATACTTTGATTTTTTTGTAGAAAACTATTATTAGTTCAACAAAGAACTGAAATAATAAAGCACAGTGTTGAGAACATTATTTCTAATTCCTTTGTTTGCATATTTTCTTCTTAACCTTTTATTTCTTCTAATTTCTTTCTGCGTGTTGTTTTGCGGTGGTTGGGATTGAACCCAAGGCCTTCTGCACACCAGACAAGTGCCCTCCCACTAGGACACATCTCCAGCCCTTCTCTCCTGCGTCCAAAGTCATGAGATTGGGGCTGAAAATACCATGACCATATTTTGGAGATTCTGTTCAGTGGTAGAGTGCTGACATATCCTGCCGAAGCTCTGGGTCTGACCCACAGTAGTGGCTGACAGTTAACATTTAATAATATAATTCATTGCTTTTAAGCTCTGGGGATTCTCAGTGTCTCAAAAAAATTTTAAAGAAAAATTTGGCAATGTATCTGACTCACAAATTTATTCATAACTAATTGTAACCTGTTCTTCCGCACTTCCGTATTTTTGTTCCCTCTGAAACTGGAATGCACTGACCTTTAGGTTTCTCCCCCAGCTGGGATCACGTGACCAGGGCAGCATGCCTCACTTTCTCTCATGACCTTCTGAGACACTTGAAATGTTTGTAACTGTTGAGTGTGGTTTGCAAGAAAAGGCAATTCACTTTTTGTGGGGACAGAATCTTTTCTTGCACAAAAATGAGTCAAGTTGTTACAGTAAGTTGTTTTTGTCTGTTTTTTAGTTCAACAGGCACTAAACACTCATCTATGTAACAGGCTTACGGTGATAGAAAGTCAGCCAACAAGTGGACCATGAAGGCCCCTGCTGCTGAGTCCATCCAGAGCAAGGACTCATTACTTTACACAGCCGACACCTTAAGGAGCCTTGGATTTGTGCCTGGCGAGTCGCTGCCATTACCTGCCAGAATTATGATCTGCTGTTGCCACCACCGTGTGTCTTCTCTGTACATCAGCCTGTCACCTGGCTTTGAGTCATCACGTGGTTTAAATCACCCTCTGACTCTCAGCCCTCACTGCTGCATCACCAGAACCCCAGCTGTGTACGCCTTCCATGCTGAGGACAGGTTAGACACCATCAGAAGGGTGTCTATGTTTTGTTGTTGCTGGTGCCCCCACCTTGGTGTGACCTTTCCCAATAAATCACTCACAAATCATCCTTGACTTTTCAGCCCAAGTGTGATTAAAACACGAGCCCAAATAGAAACAGCCCCATTATCTCGAGTCTGTTTGCTCATCACTACTAAATTCTTGATGACTGGGTGTAACACGTGGCAATAGTCCTAGCAGTCAGGAGAATCAGGAGTTCAAGGCCAGTCTCAGCTACAGAGTGAGTTTGGAGCCAACCTGGGCTACAGGAAATTCTGTCTCAATAACTTGTTCACTTTGATAAGAGTTTTCAGAACTCTTTTTAGTTCTGAAGAGTATATCTTCGGTTAGTTTTATTTTTAATTCTGTATTTACTAAAGAATGATGCGTAAGGAAAAAAATGAACGTCTCTTAGATTCTTGTTTTTTATTGAGACAGAATTTTCTGTAGCCCAGGTTGGCTCCAAACTCACTCTGTAGCTGAGACTGCATAGTTGGGATGGACAAATGACCTAGAAGGATGGGAAAAGAGGATAGAGCAGGTTCTACTGAGTAGCAAATTGGGATGTCAACATTCTATATTGGTAGCTGTAGTTGTTTACAGAATCAGTGTAGGTGATCTGTGGTGATTTAGAAATGCCTTTCCTAAAGAGCGTTTGGGTGTGTGAAGCACTTGGGAGCACATGTTAAAGTGTGAAGTCTGACATGCAAAGCCACAGCATTCCTAACAGGACACTTTTGTAGTGTCTGGGCCGCTAGTTATTGGTGTGCAGCCCATGAGTCTTGACTCACACCTTCCTGTGCCTGTGCTTCCATCCAGTTATATCCAAGGCCTTTGAAAGCCCATCCTGGTCTATTCCACCTGATATGATATCGCAGGACAATCACCAGACTGAGAGATGAATTGCCAAGCACACTGGAAGCCGGTATGTTCTGACTCTCAGGCCATTGTGTTTCTCCACGAGGCCCCTTAACAACTCAGCTAGAAACAAGCAGCAGATTTTCCCTCCCCGACTCAGTGAGTAATTGTCCGCACCACAGTGACAGATGTGCAATACAGCAGCTTCTTCAGGAAAAAATTAACAGTTTGTCCAGCGTGTCAGCTCGCTCTTTTTAGTGCTTGGGAGGTCTTGGCCCCATTACGGATGATTTAGAAATTGAGGCAAGCGAAGACCAGCAGCCTGTTCTGAAAGCCTCCGTTAGTTGGCCTCATCTGCATTCCTGAACTGACTCGCATCCAGAAATTGGTGGAGCCCCTCTGGCCACAAGATGAGGATGGGCTGACAATGCCTTGATTTGTTGAGAGAGAATAAATGGATTTTCCAGAAGATGAGGAAATATCACCATTACTGGCCAATTTACAGCATTTTATCTGTTCTTCAAACATGTCACTTTTGTTATTGTTGCATGGTAATTACATAGTGAGACGGAAAGAAAACAAATTCTGGTTACGTATTCAGATGGGTTGCAAAATCATATAATCCTGATAAATGCCCATTTATGATACACATGGATGAAAGGTTCATTTTAATTTTGAATGGCTAGCTCGGCCATGAAGAGGGTCTAGGATTAAATCCCAGAGACTTCTGACTACATCAGACAAAGTCTCCCTCACCATTTGTTCCTCCATTCAGGGGGGTGCCATAAGGCATTTTCACAGACAGGGCCGTCTTGACAACACAGGCGTGCACTGAGAATTACATTATCAGAAGGAGAATTCTTAGAGCACCGTCTTGCTCTGAGGACCAGTCTCTCCTAAAGGCTTCTTGAGAAGCCAGAAGACTTATGGGAAGGACCATCTTGAGAAATAACCCATTGTTTTTATCACCTCCCCAGTCACTTTACATGCTTAGAAACTAGAAAGTGCATGCTGCCCCATATGTTCCTCCTCCTAGGGTGGCTTCTAGCCCTTCCCAGGCCAGTTAGCATAAATAGTTGAGAGACTGAAGGTGCTGATAAGGAAAATGAAGCCGGGAAACAAAGGTGAGCAGCATCCCAGGGCCACTTCTACAGCATCAGCTATGCAAATGAGCTTTTGCTTAGGGCGGGCAGAGCCAAAGGAGCCTTCTTACCCACTTGTCAGTTGAACTTATATAGCTCTCTCCTGGCTCCCAGCAAGGGTGCAGCAAAGAAAGGAAGGAGATTTACCAGCACTTAACCTTCCTTAGCCAAGGAGGGGCGCGTGCCACCTCTGTTCCCACTCCATTGGCCATTTGGGACTACTGAATCATGGGGAAGCTCCCCACAGTAGGAAAGCACATGTGTATTTGATGAGTGTGAATTTCTCTTTTGTGTGTCCTTAGTGCGGGACATGTCCAGACTTAAATATCAAAGTAGCATGCTCTACATTCCATTGAGTCTCCAACACCACCAGTGTTGAGATGTGCCTTAATTTTACAGAGAGGCAGGAAGAACCAGGGAAGTTTCTCTCCTCTACCCATGACAGCGTGCTTCCCAGCTATAAGGTGAAGAAAATGTAAGTTTTGAACCATGAAACTATTTTTAAAAATGAGGAATGTCAGAGAAGACTGCATGGTGAGATGGGACTGGAGCTGCTCGTTAGAATGACAGGCAGGTCTGCCTGGCACCGTTACTATATGTGCTCACTGGTGCTGCTTTCAAAGCCTTTGCTGAACCTGGGGATAACAGTAGCTACCTTGTGAGATTATGAGGACCAAGTGGAGCCACACATCTGGCACTTAGTAGGTCCTTGCACCTACCTACCTTTGCTCTGCTAGAGAGGTGGTGAGTTCTTGTTTGTGTTCTCTTGTCTAAAGGGCTGGGGGAGAGTATTGCCGGAGGGTTCACTCACTTTCTACCTTCCAGCCAACAGTCTAATGCCACGGCAATGGAGTACATACCGTTAGTAATAAGCTTGGTGACTCCAGATGAGATCGGGTTTTTAAAAACATATTCAGAGCTGGAGAGGTAGATCAGTGCTTAAGAGGGCTTGCTGTTCTTGCAGGAGACCCAGGTTTGGTTCCCAGCACCCCTGTCAGGCAGCTCACTATAGCCTGTAGCACCAACTCCAGGGCATCTGACGCCCTCTCGTGGCCTTTGATGGCACCGGATGTACGTATCCACAGACCCATGCACACACACAAATAGAAACAAATCTCTAAAAGCTACATTCTATTGGAAATATGTAAAGAGTAAAACTACAATTCAATTACTAACAGCCAATGGAAAGCTTCTTCCTGGCTGTCTATAGCTCCTGCGGGGACATCAGTGTGCCTGCCTTGGCCTCTGACTCACCATGACCCTCTTGACCTCTGCCTCCCATAGGCCCAGGACTGTGAAATAAAAACCTGTACCAGATTTGGTATTGACTACATCTGGCTCAGGACCCAGAAAACCCAGTTTGTATGATTTTCTCAGCCCAAAATTCTGTCTTTCCACAGTGTTTTTGATAGTATATTCTAAAACAGTACTTTCCAGGCTGCAGTTTGTAAGAATCACCAGGAGGGCACTTTTTAAAAAATTGGAATTTTCAAACTCTCTTCTCAAAGAGGCACCTGTGGCATCAGCAAACCTGCCCATATCCAGGCATGGGCTCTTCGAGTGGAACCTGCTGGACCGCCTGCCCACACTTTTCCTGAGAACCATCTCAGCTTTACCACCCTTCAACTCTGCTGAAGAACTGAGGTCAAGTTCATCCAGTCTTGTTATGACTGGTGTGTTGAATGGAAGAGCCATTGTGAAGAAGAGAAGCAAAGAGTGTATAAATGGATCATAGGAATGAGCGAGGAGTGGAGAGATTGGAGGAAGGTGAGTTCCTTTTGGCCTCTGAAATCTCTCTGTGGAAAGCATGACCTATCTTCCCTGGGACCCACTCTACAAATTGGACAGGATACTTACTGTGTAGGCCTAAACTTGTTGCTAAACACATGAACCAGAGGGCAAGCCTTTCGCATCATGCCAAGATCTGTCGTGTTGTGAAGGAGGGTGGGATCCCTTTCGATGGTACTCTCTCA